ACTGTGGATGATGGAAATCAGAAACAAAAACAAATAGCTGGAGAAACTCAGCAGATCTGGTAGTGCATGCATGAAGAGATTTAAGAACAGATTCATTCCCTGCTGTTATCAGGTTTTTGAATGGGCCTCTCAGAAGTTAATATTGATCTCTCTCTCTGCACTTTCTCTGTGGCTGAAACATTGTATTCTGCACTGTGTTCTGCTACCCTGATGCACTTTGTATGGTACGATCAGCCTGTATAGCAGGCAAAACACTGTATCTCGGTACATGTGACAGCAATAAATCAATCATCTGTGGAGAGGAAGCAAAGTTAGCATCTTGGGTGGAGTGACCCTTCAGAAGAAGACGATTCTGAAGAAGAATCATCGGACCTGAAAAGTTAACTCTGTTTTCTCTTCACAGAAACTCAACAGGTCTGGCAGCATCTTCGGCAATTTCTGCTTTCTCTTTACCCTGTCGGTGCCCCTCATAATCCTATACTCCTCCTCTGTAAATTTCCCCTTCAACTTTCACTGCCTCAAAGAAAGCAAAGTGAGCTTTTCCATCCTCTCTTCATTGCTAGAGTGCTGCATCCCAAACAACATCTTGGTGAATCTCCTCTGCAACCCCTTCCAGTGTAATCACATCCTTCCTATAGTGTGGGGACTAGAGATGCACACACTCTTGTTGCGGCCTAGCTGTACAGCTCCGACATGACCTCCCTGCTCTTATCATCGGTGCCATGAGTGATAAATGCAAATGTCCCATAACCTTCTTAACTACCCTATTAACCAGTCCTATCACCTTCAGGGATCTGTGGAAAAACACTACAAGATCCCTCTGAGCTTCCTAGTATCCTGCCGTTCATTGAATACTCTCTTGTCTTGTTACTCCTTCCAAAGTGCATCACCTCACACTTTTCAGGGTTAACTTCCATCCACCACTGATCTGCCCATCTGAAAAATCTGTTTATATCCACCTGTAAGCTAAGACCATCTTCCTCACTTTCAACTGTCCAGTCATACATCAGGTCACCCACAGCCTTAGTTATCATTCCTCTCACATGCTCATCTACATCATTTTAATTCATCACGAACAACAAAAGGACCCAGCACTGATCCCTGAGGCACGCCACTGCACTCCAGGTTCCAGCCACACAAACAGCCTTATAGTAGCACCCCCTGTCTCCCACCATGAAGCCAATTTTGGATCCAACTTGCCAAGTTACCCAGGATCACATGAGCTTTTACCTTCTTTATCCATTTCCCCTATGGAACATTTTCCAAGTCTTTGCTGAAATCCATATAAACTACATCAACCACACTACCCTCATCCAAACGCTTGGTCACTTCCTCAAAAAATTCAACCAGATTCATTTGTCATATCCTCCCTCTGTCAAACCCATGCTGATTATCCCTGATCAAACCTTGGCTCCTTTAGGGATAGGCTAACCAGCAATACCCACTTTCCACAAGTGAATAACAAAAAAGGACTTCAATTTGCTCCTTCAGGATTTATTCCGGTTGTTTCCCTACCACTCCTGTAAGACTCATTGGTCAGTAATTTGCTGGTTTATCTTTACTACCCTTTTTGAAATGTGGGACTATATTAATTGTACACCAGTACTCTGGCACCTCCCCTGTGGCCAGATGGGAATGAAAAGTTTGGGTCTGGATGCCTGTAGTTTCCTCCCTTGACTCCCACAGCAGCCTGGGATACAACTCAGCTGGGCTGGGGGAGTTTTTTTTCCATTTTTAAGCCTATCAAAACTTCCACCACCTCCTCACCCTCTATCAGTCTGCTCAAGAACATCACAATCCACTTTCCTGAGTGAAGACAGATGCAAAGTACTTGCTTAACACTGTACTAATGTCCTCCAGCTCTGCAGACAGATTTTCCCTTCATCTCTAATGGGTCCAACTCTTTCCCTGGTTATTCTCTTCCCCTTTATACGTTTATAGAATATCGTGGGATTCTCCCTGATTATACCCACAAGTGCTTTCTCATTGCTTCCTTATGTTCCCCTACCTTTTCTATTACCCCTAGGGCCTTCTTTGATTTGCTCCCTTTGCAACTGTTACTTTCATCTGTTTTCCTTTTTATCCAGTCCTGAATATTCCTAGACATCCAGGGTTCTCTGGGTTGTGCTCCCACACTTCATGTTGGGCCTGTACTGTCCCTAATTCCTTTTTGAACCTTGAACCTCCCCTTATTCTACAGCGGATTCACTCACACGTGGCTACTCCAGTCCACTTTGACCAGATCCTTCCGTATTTTAATAAAATCACTGTGTACGCACTGACAAGTTTCACATTAAGTAAATCAGAAATAATAAATGTACTTGTATAACACTTTTTGATAGCAAAAATATATTTGTATTGTCTTACAAAGAATCACTTGAATTTATACAATTTGGGATGGGAAGGTTTTGAAAGCAAAATGTTGAGAACTCCCAAAAGGGAAAAGCATCAATTGTCACATGTCCAATGGGAAGTATGCACTGGTAATCAAATTCTAGTATTCCACAAGTCATGACAAATAGATAAATAACCAAGGGAAATACAGAGATTATTAATTTGCCTGAATGACTGCAGCTAAAATAAAGGAAACTCACCAGATTTCATTCATAAAACAAGAAAACAATTTATTTTCTATAAACAAGCCTATCCTTTAACATGTGGCAAAATGGATTATTAGTTACTGCTATGTGAACTTAAACTACATTGCCTTTAAACCCAAAACACACACATTCATTCATTCACAAATAGGACAAACAAGACAGACTGTTCTGTAGACACATCACAAATGGAAACACATAGCCAAATAGGAGGAAATTCAGCAGACCAAGATTCCAAACCATAAAGGTGAAATGAAGTGACTTTCTCAGTTTTCAGTTTTCTGGCAATGATGTCACTTTGTTATCGACTGCAGCAGGTTCTCAATTTGATAGTTGATCAGCTAGACCTGAGCCGTTGTTTGAGTTAGAAGTTCTTTTCAGAGTTGTTGAATGCTGGTTTTCTTCCACTCACATAGGGAGCAAGTGTGAAAGTGAGATCTGTTTTTACTTGCATGCTTTTGGGAGGTCTGTGTGTCACTGCCCAAACTCCGTTCTATGCCAGATTCAAGTTATCCACAATGGCTTGATGCTAGGCAGTTTTTTTTTTTTTTAAAATGCAAAGGCACCTTGTACCTGCTTGTCACCATGAAATTATCAAATTCAGCTTTCCAAACACTTAATGACTTATTGATTACACTAAGTGAACACCACACAGTTCCACTTTTGACCAAGTTGTTTAAAAAAAGGTTGCTTCACTGGAACATGTCAGTGTCCAAACTTCAGTTTTCCCAGTTTATATTTCCAATAATGACACATGCAATTCTTGCACGATTAATTCCAACCGATCCTAAGCTGCCATCTGAATTATTGTTAAACATTATACAAGTAGCCAGAGAGAGCTGATGTAATTAAAAATATAGAACCTAGCTTGGCATCAATAGTTTATTTCCTGATAAAAGATATCACTTTGGTCAAACATGCAATGAGCAACACAGACAGGCCTTGTTCTGGTATTGTTTCTTCTTCCTGAGGTTATGTTTCACACCATCTTTAAATGGTGCTCTGTTTCAAAGCAGCAATTTACACAGAGCTGAAAATGTGCTTGTCCAAGGAGGTGTATTAATCGTACGCTGCTCAATATTGCCTATTTAATTTGCTTTTAAATTGACACATAATCTTGTCCAAACATACACGCTAATGTTGAGTGAGATAATGAGAGATACTGAGGCTTCACATCAGTTTCTGAACGGCAAGGTAGAAAATAATTTCTTGTATAACAGAATAGCCAGCAAACACTAAATTGTACATTAAACATCAGAAACTTCACTAAATAAAAACTAAAAGAACTGCAGATGCTGTAAATCTCAAACAAAGAAATTGCTGGAAAAGTTCAGCAGGTCTGGCAGCATCTATGAAGAAAAATCAGAGTTAACATTTTGGTCTGGGTTCTAAGGAAGGGTCACTGGACTCTAAACGTTAACTCTGATTTCTCTTCTCAGATGCTGCCAGACCTGCTGAGCTTTTCCAACAACTTCTGTTTTTGTATCAGAAACTTCACACTGGTTTATGTAACTCAAACAAATTTAAAGATGATGTACTTTGCATGGTTTACCTAAAGGGTTTTACTGTTATTAGCCTTGAACGTTTTCAGTTATGCAGTCTTCGACCAAGTTAAATAAAGCATATGACTTTGCTGTAGAGCACATTATCGATCTGGGAGAAGGTAGTGTAGTTGGTTCATTTGTGGTTAAAAATTAGCTTTGATATCAACTCAACATTTGTAAAGAATATCTTTTTACATGGAATGAAGCGGTAATGATAAAACTCGGGAGCCCAAATGAACTGCGCCTGCAGGGCCTGATTGTACCCGTGAAGCAGTTAGATGGAAATCAGAGCAATATTCTAATACGGAAAGTCTCATCCTGCAGTAAACTGACCCACTGGGGACAAGGAGGGAGTGTGCACATTGCATTAAACTTGACAGCGTGTTCAAGGCTATAACATTGCTGTGGCCCAGAACACATTTATACACGATTGTTCATATCAACATCTGGTCCTTTGAAGATAGGTTTTAGCTTCGGGCTATGTTCCAGTTCTATTAAATTCTTACATGCACCATTCCTAAAATACAAAAACCCTGGGGACATTTACAAATCGTATAAAAACAAGCAACAGAAATATCTTCAGAATAACACACTGTGAAGTTCAGAATGTTGCACTTCCTATCTGGTTAAAATAGCACAAGGGGGTATGTTCTCTGATAGCTTCTACATGAATAGAAACGTTTTAATGTAGCGTTGATTCCCCTGCCATTAGAGAATACATGACACTTTGTACGGAAGGAGTGTTCTTTTAAAATAAATAAGACAGTTCAATAGTTTCTCGGATATTTAGGGCGTGACATTTCAGTGACTGAGTATACCTCGGCTGAAATACAACTCACAGCAGTTCTCATTAACTGACCTCTTTTCGATGGCATCTATATTCCTGAGCAATAGCCAAAGCTCCTCTTTGTCTCCAGCCCTGGAGGAGAGCAGCAGATGGTGGCTGGTAATGCACAGAGTCCCTTTCACAGGCTGCAGGAAGGGCCGAGAGAGCAGCACATGGTCAACTTTCGACGTTTTAATGAGCTCTGAGAACTCCATAGCCCGGAGACAGACACACAGAGAGAGAATGAGTAAAATCCCCTGCAGTAAAAAACACACACAGCAGTAACCTCAGGGTCGGAAAAGGAATGTGCTTTACACTACAGCTCATTTGAATATAACGTAACAAAGAGCTTTTGAAAATAACCTAATTTGGCGGCTTGGATTTGCTGCGGTTTTTTTAAAACAACATGGACAGAAGTATGAAAATATACTTTCACGGAAGGCAAGTGGTTTGGCAGCTGCCTGTGCTCGTGTTTTTGAACACTTTAGCTGATAGAGTGAACGGTTTATAAGAATGTGTCCCTCTTGCCTTACAATGGCTGGGTCCGAGGAGGAGGCAAGAATCCGAAGCACATACCCTCACCAAACCCCCCGAGTGGGTTCATACATTCCCCGGCACTATATACACACACAGCTACTGCCAGAAACCGAGAAGGAAACATGCAATTTTAAAAAAAAATGCCTCGCAAATCATTTTCTGTTCAAAGGGGGAACGTTAAATATTTTAATACACAACCCCGCCCAGGACTAAAGCGTTAAATCAACTTTTTTCTGCGCAACACGACTAAAGCCGTTTTGACCATTTTTTTAAAAAAACCAAGTTTCCAAACGTTGAGAACCAATCAGCACTTTACGGAGGACGGTCTACATTTCGTCAGACGGAGCCAACCCATTATTCTTGACATTAACAGTGTTCTGTTTCAGTAGAGTGGGTTTAATAAGGGGGAGAAATTCTATGAGTTGTTTATAAGAAAAGCCTAGTTTTTCCAAATTGAAATTGTCACCTTTTAATTAAAGAACACTAGAGTAGACCACTAGCGGACAAACTTAACTGATTCTGAAACAGAAACACAAGGGGGGTCTGCAGGAAGTTTGGAGATAGCAAGCAGGGCTAACACTGCCCCTTTATCTGTTTCAGCAAAACGCAAACTTCATTCCGGCGAAAGTTAAAATGTCCGACACAAAGATGGTTCTTTTTAAAGACTTGTGGCTGCCTCTCGGGTTATATTGTTCGATTTGCAGGCGACCCAGCTCGCTGCTTACAATCCATGAACCATGGCTCCGTCCCTGCTGCCAGTGCCCAGACTGGAACCGATCCGCTCACACTCACTGCTCAGGGATAAGCCGGCTCTGCACTTTCAGATTAGTTGTACAACTCAGCCACATTGCTGCTGAAACATTATCACCAACATCTACAGGTTTGCGAACACGGAAGTATTCAGGTGTCACCCACAGAATTTCTTCTGGGTGAAAGCTTCATTCCCCTCCCTCAGCATCTTCACGTGTGCGAACGAAGCGGCCGCTACCTGAACGCAGCAGTAGCAATATTTCAGCAGTTAGAGGCGCTCCAGTTCCATTCGGCTCCACTGACACCACAACAATAGCTGCTCCTGTGAAATACAATTAAAAAAACCCTGCGGATTCTGGAAATCTGAAACGAAAACAGAAATTGCTGGAGACATTCATCAGGATTGGCAGCATCTTTGGAGAGATTCAGAACGTCTGCAGTTCTGAAGAAGGGTCAGTGGACCCGAAACATTAACTCTGCTTTCTCTGCACGGATGCTGCAAGACCTACTGAGTTTCTCCAGCAATTTCTCCACTGGTTTCAGATTCTCATGTATCCCTTAGAATGGAATAGATAGGACGAATAGCATCCCAAAATTACTAAATGATCAAAGGGCCACAGGGGAAAGAGGAAATAGCTACAACGACTATAATGAGAGAAAAAGTACTAGAGAAACCAATGGGGGCTAAAGACCAGAAAATCCCCTGGATGTGATCTGCTGTATCCTAGGACATTAAAATAGCTACAGAGCTAATGGATTGTAAGAATCCTTAAGTTCTGGAAAAGTATCAAAGGATGAAAAAAAACTGCCAATAGATCATCCTTAAATCAAAAGTGAAAGAGACAAAAATCAGAGACAACAAGGTGCAGAGCTGGATGAACACAGCAGGCCAAACAGCATCATAG